GCCACCAGGTCTAGGACTCGAACCACAGTCAACCACATGGGAGTCCAACACCTTAACCACCACGCCACTCACCAGCCCTAGCACTGGCAATTTTTTGGCAATATTCAAGGTGCTGACCCCCCCGGGCATAATGCCATCTAAAACTAGAGTGTTTTGTTTTGTTTTGTTTTGTTTTGTTCTTTTATCCATGTGACTGCTATTTGAATTTCCTTCAGTAATTATTTGTGCAGCTGTGAGTTTTGGTCATAACCTCTGGACTTGACAAAATCTATTAAATTTTATCTTGGTAGGTTGGTTTTAAGTTCCTATTTCCAGTTTATCCAAATCTTTTCTGTTGTTTCTTTTGTTCATAGTAGTCATTGTTACTCCTAGCCTTATGGTATCGATAAAACTGATGAATATGAATCTGTCACTTCACATTTGCACTTAAAATATGATGTATATTAATATATACCACAATGCCTGAATTTCTGATGTCTAAAACATATGTACTACAAAGAAAAGTCAAAGATCTATAAAATGTGTTAAAAACGAAGGAAAGGAGACCAGTAGACGGCGTAATAGTTACGTCGCTGGACTCCCACATAATTGACCATGGTTTAAGTCCTGAACCCGGTGGCTTAAAACTCGCACTGGGTGTGTGTGGGTGCATGCCCAAATCCCAAGAGGAGAATGGAGGTGAAGGGATTGTGGTATGATGGTCACACCACACTTTCGTGGTCACACCACAATCCCTTGGGGGGGTGATTTCTCTGTCTCTGTCTCTGTCTCTCCGATGAATATATGTGCCCAATAGCAAAAATCTCTCTTTTAAAAAAATAAAGGGAAAAAAACATCTTTGCTAGTAAGAAAATAGTGATAATAGACCTTCACATGAGCAGTCTCATATTGTAAATGTCTCTCATGCAAAATCAACTATAATACAGGGTAACAAAGAGGAAGAACATTAACCATTACTTGCAAGGAAAAACTGATTAGAAGTTCCCTAGTACTCCACAAAACAAAAATCACAAATTAATTTCTTTATTTTTACATTAAAGAGATCTATTTTGAAAACTACTTATTTACCAAATTAAAACCATCTTTTTGGTGAATCACAATTTAAAGCATATGGGAAATATCATTTTTTAAGAGATTATTAACTTGACAACCTCAGTTATTCAGAATATACCCGAGAATTAGAAAAGTCTCTAAGAAGACAGAAGAGTCAGCACAGAGTTTGTGCACTGAAGATAAGGTATATTATCCAGAATCTCTCAGGAGCTCATCCAGAACACATTTGTTCAGATTTTAAAATAGTCCAGAATGTCCTGATCATCTAATTTCATAATCTACAGGTGAACAGAAAGAGAAAACTAGAAATTATTCACAACTAAGCAAAAATAGCCTGCAACCTGATATTGAAGAAGATGAAGCCAACACATAAACACACAATAATAAAATACACACACACACACATACATACACACACACATGCACAGACCTCCAAAATTTTATAACTGTAGAGAATTAAGCATAAAATAAAACAGTCTTAATTATCTTAATGATACCTAGGGACACTATTACATTATAGCATGGTAAAATAATTGATATTTGCAATATGATAAACATTATAACACCTTGAATTTATATAGGCAGAGTTCACAAGAGAGTTATACTCATTATTATAAGTAATTCTCAAAATATTTGAGTAGTCAAGTCAGGTATTAATAATATAGCAAATTCCACTTCTTTTTGTTATAAAAACAAGGAAAACAACAGTAAACAAAAAAGAGAGACATTCAGGTTTATAGCTGTGAAAATACAGTGTTGGTTACGAATATTAAAAGGGAAGGTTTTGATATAGAAGAAATTTTGTGTGATAAAGTTTTTGTCTTAAGGTAAAATGACTAAGGGAAAGGGATAAAAACTAAAAGTATATATTGGCAAAAGTTCTGAAAGGGAATTATAAACAATTATATACAGTAAGTTGACTAAAAGGTGAAGACAGTGTTTTTCATATGAAAAAACTAGTCCTTGTTCCCAATCAGCTTTCAATATTCAAAAAATGTCCCAAAGGCTCATGCAGAGGTCAGGCATGGCCATGGATGGCCTCCTTAAGACTGATGCTACTGCCTAGTGGTTAGAGCCACTAGGGGATACCCCAAATGCCACTTCACAGAGCCCTCGCTTCGCCTCTCATAGTTTCCTTGTTATGACAAATAGCCTTTGCCCTCTATTAAGCTGGGAAATCCTTGTAAAACTTGGTACCACGGTTATACCTATCCAGTCTCTCACCCAGGCTACTTTGACAAACACCTTAGGAGTTTGGAAAAGAGAACCAACCAGAAGGTAAAAATCAAGTCCTAAGACAACTATTCTCACTCTAGATTTCAATGTGCCTTTTTTGACCTTAGCCTGTTCTTTTACTGTGGCTCCTCTACTGACTTTACCTACTAACTAGACTGGGATATGCACCTTGAGCTATCTTTACCCCAATATTAGCAATCCTAAAAGATCAAACCTTACCAGCTCCCCAAAGGGCAAAATTATCTTATAGAAAAAAAGAGGGCAATTCAAATGACACGCCTCCTGGCAGCCTTGGGAATTTCTACAAGGATAGGTACAGGGATAGGAGGCATGGCTACATCTCTTCACTACTCTAAAACTTCTTCCTCTGATCTTTGACAAAGTTTAGACAAAATGTCCCAAAGTCTCTACAGATTCAAGACCAACAAGACTCCATGGCCATGGTAATTCTCCTAAACTGAAGAGGCAGAAAATGGTGGTCTCTGCCTCTTCCCGGAGGAAGAATGCTGCTTTTACCCTTCCCTTGGTAGCCCCCATTTTAACTCTTCTTTTCTTAGTTTCTACAGGACCTCCACTCCTATAAATGCTGAACTGCTTCGTCTGAGACACCATCCAATAACTGACCCCAAAACAGGTTGAAAACATCTTGCTCCTACAGACGGGTATGAAGCTCATGCCTGCCTCTGAGATTGACACTCCCCCCCCATTCCCCCAAAAGACAACACCCCTTCTCAGCATGAAGCAGCTCCAGAACTCCAGAAGACTGACCATTGTCCATAATCCCTTGTCTCACGCCGGCCCCACCTTTTTTTTTTTTAATAAAAGATAAAGGCTAGAAATGTTAGATCAAGCCCTGAATGGTCTTTGGGTGATTATAATGACCTTTGGCCAGAACCCTCCAGTCAGAACACTTCCTGACTGGCAGCTGACACCTATAGATGGCCCATAAGGTCACAATAGCAAGTAAGTTCATCAAAGTACCCTACCACCCCCCTTCCCATATAAATAGATCATGTCTCCTCGGTAGGGTGGGCTGAAGCACCTCCAACTTCAGACCCCTGGTTGCTCTTTCTCTCAAAAAGCTTTCCTTTTGGGGGACTAGCAGTTAGCATAATGGCTATGTCGCAGGACTCCGCAGTTCGCGTCCTGGACCCGGTGGTTTACAACTCACGCCAGGTGTGTGTGTGTGTGTGTGCCCAAGATCCTGAGAGGAGAACGGAGGAGAAGGAATTGCGGCGTGGCCAACCCCCCTGGGGGGTGATTTTTCGCTTTCTGTCTCTCTGTCTCTCTCTGTCTGTCTGGCGAGTGCACGTGCCCTATAGTGAAAAACCTCTCCAAAAAAAAAAAAAAAAAAAGCTTTCCTTTTCTCTTGGAAAAAAAAAGTGTGTGTGTGTGTGTGTGTGTGTGTGTGTGTGTGTGTGTGTGTGAAGCTTGACAGAGAGAGACAATGAGAGAAAGAAAGGAGAAAGCATCCTGGTGGGGAATGGTTACACCACAATCTCCTCTCCATCGTTTTTCCCTTCTTTAGGGATTTTGGGCATATGCGCACATGTGCCCAGGATGGTCTTCAAGTCATCTGGTACAGGACTCAAGCTGTGGGGTCCACCATGTGTGATCCAGCTGCCTTAACCACTGGACCACAGAGCCAGCCACCAAATTTTAAATTCTGTGGCTCAGAGAGATTAAAGAATTTACCCAGGGCCATATGACCATTAGATAGGTATTGGAGTTTCTAGTCTATTACATAATGACCCTGAAACATCAAAAAATATTTGCCTTTTATGTCACATAATCTGGTTAGCAAAACAGAAAAGCATTAAAAACTTTCACAAAAGTTAATTTGCAGCATTTTAGCTTTTGAGCCCTTAAAGGAATTAAGTTACATGAAAAATTGCTTTATATCAAGTCCCAATGTTCCCATAGTGCCACAGAGGTCTGAATTTAACCTGCAGTGCTAGCACCAAATCCATAGCCATTAATTACCTTCCATTTTAAGGTCTGAAATCTGTACAGAAATAAATGAAAGAGCATAAATGTCAATATTAGAGCAATTACTGAACTTGATTTCATTTGTTGAAAGATATTACTGGAGTGTCTTCTCTCACCTCAGTGTTATTTGGCCTACGTGAACCTGGGAGGACTCTGGTGCAGAGTACGGGGGGGAGGGGCACTGCAGCCGATGCCACACGTCAGAGTACTCATCCTTGGACATTTAGCTTTATCAATACGAGGAACCCTCAACTCTCCATTCTACAGCATTTGGAGGCAAAATAATGTAATACTCACACATTTTTAGAGTAGTATTTATAATAATGAGGAGAAACAAATTAGAATTTTTCTTGTGCTTTCTAAACAGTTACTAATTTCATAAAGAAACACTAGCCACCAACAAGTAATAAGGGAGAAGAATGAAAAATAACGTTGCAGTTGGGTATATTCCCTGACTACCATTTCCCAGGGTGAGATTATGGTCAGCTTATAACCTGGATTTGTTATTATAAGAACCCAATAGAACGCACAAAGTTTGAGAAAAATAAAGCCTATCTGCTGAACACTCCTAATGGATCAAAATCTGCCATCACCATGGTAACCTCTGAATCACTCTTTCCAAGCTAGTGCCAATTATGCACTTCTCTGGCCCTTGTAACCTCATTCATTTTTTTGTTCTTTACGGCCTGTAATCTTTTGAAAGAAAAAAAGTCCACACATACCCTCTTGCTCAGTCCGAGTCATTTCCTCAAGCTTCTTCTGTTTCAGTGTGTCCACCACATCGGCAAGGCTCCCTTTGCGGCGTTCTGGGGTTCCAAAAGTAACACTGCTCATTATCTCGCGATCCCGACTCCCTTCGTCAGGCTTATGTGGTGAGGTAGAGGTATTTCGGAAGGAATATAGGGAACATAACTTATTATTCTCTGACTCCTACAAAAATAAAATAAAACAAAACCATTAGAACATAGGTTTCTTTTCATATCATTAGAGAAAAAAAAATCTCACTCAGGACAGTATTTGATACTAAATAAGACAAGTGAAATATTTTAAATAAAATGAAATACAATAACTAAGTAGCATAAATTAAAAGTTGCCATTCCTGGGACCAGCAAATGGCATAATGGCTATGTTGCTGGACTCCCATGTAGTCGACCAGGGTTCAAGTCCCAGACCTGGTGTCTTAAACTCACACCAGGCATGTGTGTATGCGCACCCAAGAGCCTGAGAGGAGAATGGAGGAGAGGGGATTTCACCATGGCCATCCCTCCTAGGGGGTGATTTCTTGCTTTCTGTCTGTCTGTCTCTGTCTTTCTGGAGAGCGCACACGCCCTATAGCAAAAACCTCTCCAAAAATAAAATAAAATAAAATAAAATAAAATAAAATAAAATAAAATAGTTTTGTTTGTTTGTCTCTGTCTGTCTCTGTCTTTCTGGAGAGCGCACACGCCCTATAGCAAAAAAATAAAATAAAATAAAATAAAATAAAATAAAATAAAATAAAATAAAATAAAAGCTACCATTCCAATTGAACAATACTAAATATTTAGAAAGCAATTAGCAAAAAGAACCAAGCTGAAATTGTGATTTCAAACTGTTTAATTTTGGAAATTATAAGACAGTCTAAGTGACTAAAATATGGACACTTCAAATTCTGACTCATTTACACACTTTATTTTATGTAGTTTAGATTCAATAGATAATTATTAGAGCTAGTAAAGTTTTCCTTTAATTGGGCAGTTTTATTAGTAATAGTCTTCTCACAGTCTAAATATACATACATCACAAAACATTTTCCTTTAGTTTCAAACCAGTAGGAAAGTTAGCTTCCGGATCCAATATTAATCATTCACCAGAAAATATATAAAATACCTAAATCAGTGCCAGAAAGTTAGCCAGCCTGAATATATTTGTGTGCAGGGCTTTGCAGAAAATCATTTTCTTTTCTAGCTATACTTCTGTCCAAAGTTTCAGAAGCTTCTTCCTATTCTTACCCTTAACCACTGAAACTTCAGCACATAGTAACACATTTTTCACATGGTGTCTAAAAATATATTTTTTAAGCAAAAGACAAGTTTATTACAGAAACATTTGCACAGGAATTGCTTTATCGTATAGAGAATTTAGCAAAATGGTAAGAGTATTCCATCCATCAGCAAAGGAGAAAAAGCAAATTTTGAAATTAAACATCACCTTAATGTTACACTAAAAAAAAGTTTTTATGTATTTCTAAATCAGAACTGAGTTGGATGCAACTACACTTACCTATAGTCCCTTGGTAGTTTTCCATTCACCTTATCTGTTTGCATAAAAGTATTCTGTCTCCGGATTGAAAAAAAAAAAAAAAGTGTGAAGTAAAGCATCTAGCCTTTGTGATTTCTCATCAGAAACTTGAAAATCCTAATTACCCTTGGGAACCAGCAGTTAGCGTAATGGCTATGTCGCTGGACTCCCACGTAATCGACCGCGGTTCGCGTCCCGGACCCAGTGGTTTAAAAAATACAACAGGTGCGTGTGCGTGCGTGCCCAAGATCCCGAGAGGAGAATGGAGGAGAAGGGATTGCGGTGTGACCATCCCCCCTGGGGGGGGTGATTTCTCGCTTTCTGTCTCTCTGTTTCTCTCTGTCTGGCGAGCGCACGCGCCCTATAGCAAAAACCTCTCCAAAAAAAAAAAAATCCTAATTACCCTATATCATTAATCTCAAAGAAGCATAGCAAACTTCAAGAACTAGAGGAAGAACCATAAGGGAGAAGTTAGAGTTAATAACTAGTGGGAAAGGGGAGAAAAGAAACATGTGTAATAACTCCCCACATATATGAAATGAGTTCGTAATTACAGTCAACAAATACCAGGTAGGTAGGTGTCATTGTCACTTTACATGAGGTGGGATAAAACTTTCTTTCAGTGTTATAGGGAGCATATAATAAGAGTTATAAAACACCTAGCAGGTGCTGAGCTCATGGTATTGAGATGGTATTTAATAAACAGTAATAAATATCATTCTGAGGAAGAAGCAGATCTAGGAACTGAACCAAGGAAGTTTTACTTACTTCTGGACCTGAGGAATTGTGAAGTAAAAAATGTTAATAGGAATCTTGAACTAAATTAAATATTGTAAATTTTGATGACCTGGGACCAGCATTTGGCATAACGGCTATGTCGCCGGACTCCCATGTAGTCAACTGCAGTTCGAGCCCCAGACCCAGGGGCTTAAACTCACACCGGGCGCATGTGCGTGCGTGCCCAAGATCCCGAGAGGAGAATGGAGGAGAAGGGATTGCGGCGTGGCCATCTCCCCTGGGGGGGTGATTTCTTGTTTTCTATCTCTCTGTCTCTCTCTGTCTTTCTGGCGAGTGCACACGCCCTATAGCAAAAACCTCTCCAAAAAAACAAAAAACAAAAAAACACTTGATGACCTAAATCATGAACTTTTCTGCATTCCCACTGCTAGCACGACTCTAGAACATAGCAGCTTAATACAGTTCTACTAAAACAAATTGAATAGGATAAAATTAATGGGACAGAATAGGGAAAAGAAACCCCTTCCTCTTTACCTTGCTCCTAGATCTGTTCCTCCTAGGAAAGACGCTTTATTTCATTTAAAGCTTACAATAATTCTGTCAAGTGATGCAAAGAAACTCCTTCTTTCAGAGTCAGTCACGGTGTATATGAACGGCCAGTTCATTTTTTACTTTATGCAAATGAAAACTCAGAAATGTTTGCCAAAGCCATTTTGACCTCTTACTAAAGTTGGTATCAATCCTCTAACAGGTTTTCGTGAATCAATAATCAACATTTGATCAATCAAGCTTCAGTTACTTGCATTTCAAATATAGATTATTTCCATACCATAGCCTAAAAATAATTTAAAAATAAAAGAAAGAAAAGGAAAACTTGACTCAACCTAACAGATTAAAGACCAAGTCAAAACAGTAGTAAGTGGAAGTGGTTACCTACAAATGACTCATCATTGACCGTAATAAAGAAGATTTTCCAATCACTCCCAAAGTGAAATTGACAGATGCTGGAGAGGCTCACCAGCCTGAGTAAAAACTCTAGGTTGTCCTCAGAGCATTTGGGCTTCACAGAGTACTTCACCCACCCCTTAGGATTCATTTCAAATAGTCTTACTCATCATCACTTACTCCTTAGACTATTTCCTTGTTGTCACTCCCGGGAATGAGGTCACGCCTTCCCAAACCACGGATAATAACCATGGGTTTTCCATTGCAGTGGTGACCCACACTGTTCTCGGCCCCATAATCTGTGCAAAATGGCTCAACACAACTAGGTGGCAGAGTACAAGAGAATGAAGAGTCCTGATTTCCCCAAGAAAGCCACAAGAGCTACTTGTGATATGTCACCAATGTATTAATGCGGGCAGTAAATAAAATGACAAGTGTCTTAAGTTAAGGCATCTTTATGGCATCCTTAGGAACAATGGAAAAGAAGTGAAACTGGCCTTTTCCACCCCTCACCTTTTAACTTTCTAAAACCCTTACATCAATAAATTTATACTAAATTACTATCTGATACAAAGTCAATAATGCCAAATTTTTAAAAAATGAACCAAGAAACTATTTTTTTTTCTATAGGGATATGCAATTTTAAAGTACACTTTCTTAAGAAAAAAGCCCAGCTTATTCTGTAATTTCCCAGAAACAAGGTCCTATGATATGCCAGTTGAGGCAAGATGTCCAATTATAGTATCTGTTAGGTTTTTAGGATTTTGGCCATAGGACACGTGCACTCACCAGACAGACAGAGAGAGACAGTGAGAGAGAAAGTGAGAAATCACCTCTGTGGGAATGGTTATGCCACAGTCCCTTCACCTCCATTCTCCTCCTGCAATTTTCAGGACACACTCACATGTGCCCAGCACAACCTTCAGGTCACCATTTCCAGGACTTGAACCACAGTTGGCCATGTGGGAGTTTAGCACCCTAGCTAGCACATCACCTACTGGCTCTGGTATCTATCAAGTCTTAATAATGTAAATACAACAAGCTATAAAGACAGTTGAGACATTTCCCTAAAGCAGTGGTCTCAAACTTCAATATGTAAAATAACCTCACACATGTTTTAAAATGCAGATTCCTTTACACCCCCAATGCTCCCAAAGGATGGGGCCAAGGATGTGAATCCTGACAAATGTCTCATGTGACTCTGATTCACAGATTAGAAACATCATAAGGAAACTGCTCTTTAAGAAGGCAAAGAAATAAATGTGTTTTTCTTTAACATTATGTGTAAATATTGTTATATAAAGTTTTTAAAAATCTTATTTGGTTGTTATTTTAAACAACATAAAAGAGATTACTTCTCTTTTTTGGTATTTCCTTAAAAAACAACTGCATAACATGACTTAATATATGACTATCACAAAAAGCATAGTATCTAACGGTACTGAGTTTGTAAGTAATAGTTCATTCAAAAAAAATTTACTATTATTTTCTCTCTACCCCTAATTTCATAGAGCTTACCAACCTTGAGTGAAGAAAATTTTTAAAATGTTATTTAAAAGAATCCCAGTCCCACTACAAGCACCAAAGCAATGACTACTTAGATTATTTAGAGATTTCAGTACAAATAATAATAATTTAAAAAGCATGGCACATAAAATATATGTAATAATTGAAAAAGCACACAGTAGTACCAAAAAATAAATTAGTCAACAGACAAAATTTCTTGAAAACCAAAAACAATGTTAACAATTCAAGAATTCTCATTACAGTGTTTCCCAGTGTCTGAAGGGAAAGGTAAATATCAAAACCAAAACATAAAATAAATATTGCTTAGCTTTTTTAGAAATTGTTATTCAAAACTGACTTCTAAACAGTGGCTTTCAAAGGACCTTAAACTTACATAGCCTTTTCAACATACTATGAATATACAAACCTATTCAGTCTTCGTGTGCCTTCTTCCCTAGCCC